ATGCTTTAAGACATTATAGTGGTAAATAAGGGAACCAGCCGCAGTTACAAAAGCAGATACCAAGGAACTATTTGTGACGAGAATAAGCAGTCACCGATTGCTGATGTGCATGCGGGGCAGAAAGTGACTCCAGGTGGATGTGGGAAGTAAATGCCAATAAGTTCTGAGCGAACTGATCCATATGGTGATCAAGTTCCTTAACCTTAGCTTCACATGTCCATTGCACTTCTGTAATGCTGGGATATAAATAAGACCCGACATGCAGAATTTAAGTTAACAAATAAAATAATCTGAATACAAAAGGGTATTACTGGATCTTAGAATAGCTGGGTTTAATGTCAATAATATAGAATAGTACAGAACAGGCCTAGGTCAGGAGACAGAGAGTATATAAATGGTAAGACAAGCCAGATATCTAACTAAAACAGAGTAAACACCCAAATAAATACCATCCCAAATAACAATTAAGAGTAAAGTGATAATCAAAGTGAAAACATATGTGACAATGAATTGAAGAACACACACATGCATTGTGGAAATAATCAGTGTACAAAACAATAAAAGGTCATCCTCAAGTAACATAGTCTTATCACATTTACAATGCTCTTTGGCTCTTATGCCCCCCCTTTATTTCTTTTCTTTTTTGTTTTTTGATAGCTGAGTGATGTGATTGTATTATATTTTTATTTGCAAAATAAATTTCCACAATCCAATCTCTATGTGGTTGAATTTGAATTACTTCTAAATGTGATAAGACTAAGTTGTTTAGGGTGATCTTTCATTGTTCTGTACACTGATTCTTTCCACAATACATGTGTGTTCTTCGATTCATTGTCACATATGTTTTCACTTTGATTATCACTTTACTCTTAATAGTTATTTGGGATGGTATTTATTAGGGTGTTTACAATGCTTTAGTTAGACTTGATAAAGACTAAGAGAGAAGACGAAAAGTTGTCTCCACTCTTTTGTTTCTGATAAAAGACAGCCTTTTAGAAGAAACCTCAGGTGTGCCTGGATATTTATCTTCTCCCTTTCTGGAGTATCTGCAGAAAGTATTCCCCTTCTTTAGTGTGTGCGTTATACTCTTGTTTTCATGCAAACAACTGGGGTCAGTAAATATGATGGACTAGAGACCATCAAAGAGGGAGGAGACGGGAGCAGCACCCCCAGTATATGAACCAGCCGCACTGGAGCAGAGGAGCAAGCCATGTAGTTGCCATGACAGATACATTTGGAAGAACAGGTGGCCTTCAGACAGACAGAGGCGGTGATTCGCAAAACTTCTCGTAGGATTTAATCAGAATTGTGAGCAAATGGCCATAAATCTTACAAAAAAATTATATAACTTAATTTTTTTTTAATACAGCAAAAACCTATGGATGAGCATCCACTGCTATATACTGAGTGACACAGTGCTCTGCACAATGCACTGTGAAATTTACTGCGCAGAGCAGTTTGTGTCAGTCATAATGCTCTGCGCAGTGAATCCCTCTTCGTCTCGTTCTATCTAATCTCTTCTGTTATCATGCAACACTCTGTCTATTCAAAATGTCTTCCTGGATGGCATTCCACTACTTAACCAACCAGGAATTGTTTGCATAAGTTTGGTGTCACTTGACACTCTCACTGCTCACCAGAACAACTTGTGTGGTTTATAGTAATGTGTGGTGTGCACTGTCACCAGCGCTGCCTGGAGTCTCAGGCCCAGCAGTCCCTATCTCTATGCCGTTTTCCTAGGTGGAACACAGCATTGGATGACGTCAGTCACAGAGGGGAACAGTTGCTGTGTCTTAAGTGAATTAACCAATCCTAGCTGACCCTTTAAGTTGGGGGCAGGTTTTGAAGGCATGAGTTTGGCTAAAGTGGATGGATACTTAATTAAAGATTTTTTAATTCTACTTCAATAAAAATGTCAGAAGTATTGTTGAGAATATTGGATTGGTGACACTGTGATCATGTCAACTTTGTTAATAGCTCATCATCATCGGCAATATCTAACAATTTTATGGCAGGACAGGAGGCTTCATATTTGCTCTACCTTCTTTACTGAAACCTCCAGAAGCAAAGAAACAGTTAACAGAACTTTTCAAAACAACCAATCAGAACAAAGCAACAGTAGTATAAAACCCCTAAGCAGGCTCTTCCACGTCCTCTTTCTTTGCTGCTGCCTCCAGGTGAGCACTCACCAACTCAGTGTTGTCTCTGCTCTTGGTTGTTGTTTTATCCTACATGCTGCTTGTTTATTTAATCAGTCTATTTTATCAGTCTATTTGCTAGGTTTGTTTAGGCAGCTTAATTGCTGGTTTTATTTAGGCAGGGTTCTTGCTGGATTTAGCTAGGCAGTCTATTGCTGTGTTTAGCTAGGCAGTCTATTGCTGGGTTTATCTAGGCAGTCTATTGCTGTTTTTAGCTAGGCAGTTTATTTTGTGTTATTTCCTATACCACTTCATGCTATGTAGCTGCTGTATCACTTGTTAACATCTGTTGCTGTATTTAGGCTATTTATCTGATAGATTCTGTATACTGCTCATTGATTTATTGTTATTCTGGGTTACTTTATTCTGTTTTCTCACTCTGCTGTATGGGCAATGGGTGCCCCTGCTATGATGCTTTGGCTCTGCCTGTAATCTGTTCCCCCTCCCCTCCCCGGGTTCCCCTGCTGGGCTCTGTCGCCCATACCCTTCTCCCTTATTCCTCAACTGCTCCCCGTGGCCCCTGGCCGCTTGCAGTGCCGCACGATCACCACGCGGTAGGCCGCGCTCTGTTTTTGGAGCCGCGGCGGCCATTTTTCAGAGCCACATGGGCTTTGTGCGTTGCGAACAGCCAGGTCTCACCCAAGAACTGGCCTGCTGGCCATGTGGCCACCCTCCCCTCTCCCTATATCAGGGGAGATAGCCCAGTTTTTCAGCTATCCCTCTACTTACTGTGCCTGTCTCACATGCTGCATATGTAACAGATCCTGGATAGCAGGGCACACTCACAACTGCAGCTTACTATGTCTGATGCAATGTGACTAGGTTCTCTATCTTAGCAGTAGACTTGTCACACTTTTTTACTATTACATGTGAATCTCAGATTTAAAGGGACATGTTACTGCTCAAATAAAAAACTTTGTTTAACAAGAATATGCCACATGTGTTATATGCTAATCAAGTCTTTCTCTAAGGTTCAGTCTTTTTCTCATAAAAATTAAATGGCCTGTTTTTCAGCACCTAGCTCCCCTGCCTAGGATTTGCTGCCCTTCCTGCAAGGGACTTAAATTTTCCACTACACATACACTTCAAAAGTGTATCCTAATATAATACCTGAGTGGTCTGTGAGTCAGCTTC